TTTTGAGTTGATTCGATTCTTTTCATAAATGACGTTTCCGGATTTTTGTTTTTTTCTTTTTTGATCGATAACTTTGATGATAAAACAAATTGAAAGAAAAAGAAACAAAAAACTTATTAATATTATAATCCTACCAAGTAATTATACATCGACGAAAAACAAAAACAATAATCTTACCATCATCATTAATCGAAGTATCAAACGAAAAAAAAAAATTGGATTTGGAAACCAATGGTAACACACATGTGTGTGCGAAAAAAATACAAAGGACATTATTTTTCCTGGTCGAAATACGAACCACAAAAAAAACAAAATCAATGAGAAACAATAAAATAGAAAAATAAAACCCGAATGAAAATCCGGATTTGTAATTTCCTTTAGTTTTTTTTTTGTTTTTGTTTTTGTTTTGATTTCCGAAATTTTTTTTTACGGAATTCGAATTCGAATAAAAGAAAAAAATTCGAGCTCAAAACACCCTTTCATATATGACGTTTATTGTGTGATTCTTCAATTTGGATTTTCATTTTCATTTTTCAAAAAAAAAAAAAAAAAAATAATGAAATGATTATCCACAAACAAACTAAAAAAACAAAACAAAAATCAGTGTAACAAAATGACAAACGAACAACAAACGACAATATATAGTTCAAACGAATAACAACAAAGTTTCAATCAGATAGAAGAAGGTAATCTCTTTTCAGGTTTTCAGGTCTTCCTATCTTGCTCATAATGTTCTCTATGTTTATCTCTCTCACTCTCTCAGGCTATATGAATGAATGAATTTTTCACCATTAATTATTGAGATAACAACAACAACAACAACAATAAAGAATAACGAATAATTTCTGTGCTCGAATCATCGAATTGATTTAATGTCTAGTGTTCCAGAATAATCAGAATAATAATAATAATAATAAACGATTCATTAAACACCAAACAATCATTCATTCATTCAGCGAATCATAACCTACAAAAAAATAAAAAAAACCAAAAAAATCTACTCAACTTTAGAGCTTCCATTTCATTTCATTGAATTCATTTCATTTCCAGATTCAAAAATCATCAATTCACATATTTTCTGTGTGTTTGTTTCGTTGTTTTTTTTTATTCAAAAACTAAAAGGCAATTTCAAACTAAACTTTCTTTGTGATTGTGTGTTAAATTGATTGAATGAAAATTGGAAAAAATTTTCCGTTTATTTGAAGAATCGAAAAAATCAATCAAAAAAAAAATAGGGAATTGGTTTCTCTCACTGTTTTGTTCCAATTCATTCAACAATAATCATCATATGGCACAATCAGAATCATCATTACCATCATCATCATCATCATCGAATAGTCATGATACAAGTGTTAAATCATTACAGTGTAATAATAGAAAACAATTTACATTACCATCGATAATTTTACCACCATCACCAACGACAAACATGTTGGGTAAAAATAGATCAGATCTAAATAACCATCATCAACGAAAAAATCATCCAATAAAATCATTATCAACATTCAAATTTCAACCAATACCAATCAAACCAACATATGAACAAATTTATGATTGTATTATAACTGAAAATTTAATACAATTAAAAAAATTTATATTAGATTCATATGGTAATCAAATTTATTCATGGTTAAATTCAAATATTGTACAAATATCAATGAATGTTAAACAATTTATTGAATCAATACCATCTATACAGGTATGTAGTGTTTGTTGTTGATCAATTTTCAATTTTATCTTTTCTATTTCTATTATTATTAAACTACCGTATTGAAATTGAAAAAAAATGTGCCATTAAAACGATTCAATTCATATGGAATCAGGAATTTTTATCATCATCATCATCATCATTTCCGTTTGATTTCTTTTTATCCAGGATCAATATAATGGTGTATAGTGAATTTTTAGCAGAGATTCTGCGAATTGTTGTTTGATTTGTCTGTCTTTGTGTGTGTGTGTGTGTGTTTGAATGAAGAAGACAATTGACAATTCAGAATGAATGGAATGAATGAAAAAGGTAGAATAGAAAAAACTTGAAATTTTTTTCATTTCGTTTTGTTTCGTTTCCTTTTTGCCTTTTTTTCGGTTTTCTTTTCTGCTTTTTTTGTGTTTAATAATGATAAGATTTTTTTTCTTTTTTTTTCATCAATGATCATCAACATTCAAGTGTATTTGTTAAACTTTTCATCCGTATCTTTTTTCTTGTTGTTGATGATCATTGAAATTAAACCAACATTCTTTTCAATGTTTATTTTCGGTTGGTTAGTTGTTGTTGTTGTCCGGTTGATTGTTGTTGTTGTTAGTGAAATAAGTACAAAGTCCAAAATCAAAAATTAAATAATATCACGGAAGCAGAAAGAACAAAAAAAAAATAATGATAATGATTTAGCTCAGGTTTTTTTTTTTGTTGTTGGGAAAACGGATTCTTCTTTTCTTTCTTTTCTTTGCTGATTTCACACAGATCATGACCAAAACCATATTGAAGGAAAAGAAACATGGTTCAAATTTCAGCCATTATTCATTAAAATAATAATAATAATGATGATGATCAACACAAAACGTAGAATTATAATAATAAACTCTCTCTCTCTCTCTCTCTCTCTCTCTCTCTCTCTCTCTCTCTCTTTCTCTCGGCGGGAGGGATAAAAAAAAAATTTTTGTTT